CTTTCTTTTCCCCATCTTTTCTTTTTCCCCCATTGTGTTTTTTTTCCTCATTTTCCCCATTGGTTTTTTTTTCCACCATAGCTTTTTCCCCCTTTTCCTCCTTTTTTTTTATTTTTCCCATATGTTTTCCCTCTTTTTGTTTCCCCATATTTTCCCCCCATCTTTTGTAGTTTGTCACTGCTATTCCTTTTAGTAGTTTTAAGGGAATTTTACTAGTTTTAAGGGAATTTTAAGAAGTAGCAATTGGTGTTTGTGGGCAGGAGGATGGCTTTGGCATGACCTTTTTTTGCAGAGGCCAGATGTGTGTTGGCTGTCTAGATTGTGTGTTCATTGATTTCCACCCCCCATGGCAATATTGGATGTGTAGCAAAACCCTTTATTCTTATTACACATTGTTCCTTTACAGATCAGTGCACCTTTCATATCCCTAATTGTGCTAAGCCAAAAACTATGGTGTCCTGTGGATGTAAAAGATGGAAAAAGGGTTGTTCAGTCAGCTAGGAGCAAGGAAATGGCACAGCCTGGGATTTCTCTGCCTGGTTAGGAAGGAGCCACAGAGCTCCTATCAACTCATATTTTCTGCCATGGGTTTAAACACCTCTGGGCAAGGGTGAGAGGAGCCCCCTCTGAAGGAAAGAGATAAGGAATAATTTGATTATAATTACTTTTCATCCCATAAGGTAATTGTTAACTGGGTAGCTGTCTGTGAGTTTGAGAAGGATAGCTGCCTCCTTCCAGGTGCAGAACCTCTCTGGCTGTAGGAACATGGTGATTAATAGAGGAAAAAAAGGGTTTAGGGCTGGCAGGATGTGTAGGAATTCCCCCTGGGCAGTGCCCTGTGTGTTTTCACCCCCACACCTCAGTTGTGTGGAGTTTGGAACATATTGGTGCCTGGGAGGGCTCTGGCCTTGACCACGGTAATTAAATCTCACATAAATGGTAACAAGATGACATGCTTGTCTGCAGAATTAAGAACAAATTACATGGACCATAATTGAGCTTTGTTTGTTTGTTTTTTTTTTTTTTGTTTTTGCACTGTTACGTTTGTACCCAGCTTGCAATTCCAAGCAGTTCTTTTGCTTAATTCTGTGATAGGATTTCTGAGTTAGGACAGAGATATGAAGCCAAATTGCAGGCATTAAATATTTCTTCACAAAGGAATCAGGTGTAAATTCAGTAAAATCTGTTTTACTGCCCAGAACTGAAGTATCTAAATGTTAGAAGGCTTTTTCCCCCTCTGTCTGAATAACTGCTGCATTTCTATGAAGGTTGATCAGAAACATTTTAATGCTGTAGGAGCTGGCATTTCCAGTGGACCTTGCCAAGAGAGGAATCCCTTCCTCTGAGGCAGCACAAATCAAATTAGCAAGGACTGAGTTCTTTCTTCTAATTGTAGGAGTTCTGTCAAATCTGTTTAATACTGATATACAGCTGACCCACTTGTGTTTGGCACGTGTCAGTGACCAGAAAAAAGCACAAGGTTCATCCATTGTTTAAGTTTTCAGCTTTGGTTTTGTTAAAAAGCTAGCCAAGTGTTCATTATTTTTATGTGAACTGTTTTTTCAGTGTATTTTGTATATACTGAAAGGATATATAAAGGGGTTGAGCCTTATATGAAAGGGGTTGAGCCTCCTTTTATAGATTTATATGTTATTAAAATATCCTACTGCAGTTCCCATCATTGTTGGGACTTGAAATTGTTGTTAAAGGCTTGTAAATTAAGGTATTTATAAAAAGAAAAACAAAGGCAGTATTTTCTTTGCAAATTAAGTGTCTTGGATGTTACTGTGACATTGTTAATAACTGAATGCCATTAAATTAGTGATAAATTTGCACATTAAATGGATGTGGGGCTTGTGAGGAGGGAGCTGGCCAGGGGATGTGAAGGCTGGAAAGCAATGATCAGTGCTGTAGGACTAGAGCTGCACACAAACTCTGAGCTCTGGGCCCTGGGAATGTCCTGCTTTTCTCTGGGCTGCAACAACTGGCCTGAAAAACTGTGCTGAATGTGGCTGTGTGAGTGCAAAATTGTTACTGTTGAATTCTGCCTTTATTTCACGTTATCATTTCACAAGCATTTGGGTAGAGGCACAATGAGGTGTCCTCATATCTCCTGTGCTGTTACTCTTGAGGAGTGCAAAGAATAATTCTTTTTAAAATGTGCTTCCCAAACCATTGTGTGGGAGTTTAAAGTGACTTGTTGGCAGAGTTGATATCAGCAAATCCAAGTGCAGGCAGGACACAACTCCCTCTTGTCAGGGAGATTCTTGTGTTAGCACAAAAGAAAAGGCCAAAGGCACCGAGAGCAGGGGTTGGGTCTCCTTTAATCTGTGTCTGGATGTTCAGGGGCACAAAGTGAGCACTCCTGTGTGTGATGCTCACAGCAACCCCCAGGATTTCAGTCCCTGGGATTTCAATTCTCATTTCCAGCCTGATGTCTGCATCTCCTCAATGCCCCTCCAGGCAGAGCATCACTTTGGGGAAATGCTGTGGCAATTTCTATGCCCATGGGACAAGGAACTAATCAAAGTTCAGCATGGCTAAAAACAGGCAATGATATTCTTCAGCTCACCAGCTATTTTTTTTCTTTTTTTTTAATTTTTATTTTTTTGGAACATCAAGGTTCTAAGAAATTGGGGTTTAATCTGGCTACAACTCAAGGAGATGGGAGGAAGAAATAGTTTTGCACACAGAACAACCTCTGAATTTACCAGCAGCTGCAGGAGGGCTGTGGCATTTGCCCTCTCCCCTGTGTTTTCTTGTTAGGCTTTCTGTCAGCAGGAAAGGGAAAATACTCATTAAAAGTATGAAGTGATTGAAAGAATGTGTCTTTCTGAGTGCATTTTAGGTTTTGATTTTTTGTGACTGGTTTCAGCTGTTAAAACTGGGCTCTTTTTCTCCTAACTTGACTTCAGCTGTTAAAATACCAGTTTATAACAGGCATTTCTGGTGTTTCTTCTTACTGCCATGAGCTTGAATTTTGAACCACTGTATTTCTTACTTTTAAATACCATTTCATGATAGACTCCTGACTTCCAAATGATTACTGGATAATAACATTGTACACAGCCTGTTTCCTCTCCTCTGTAGCCTTTTAGCTAGTCATTGGCCAGGGGCAAATGACCTGTTTTTCAAGTTTTGGCAGCCACTGGAATGATGCTGGTATCTGTGTAACTGGATCAATGCCTGGAGGAGCTGTTTGGAGCCTGTAATTTGCTGACATGCCATAATTTTTTTTTCCCCATTATCACATGATTTAAAACCCCTCTAGCACAGCAATTTAAAGCAGTTTTATTCTCGAAATATCTTACATATGGGAAAGAAAAAAACAGATTACGTTGTTCCAAGATTTTTGTGCATTTTTTGATTAATTCAGTCAAATACATTTGAGTACCACTGGGATTTTTTATTATTATTATTATTCTGAAAATATGTATCAATTTGCTAAAAGAGATGTAGATTTTTGTATAGCACTGCAGAAAATCAATCTGGCACAGCTGGTAAGTTTTTGCTGTGTATGTGGTAAACATAAATGAGGCCAGTGTACTTTTGTTATGTGCAGGTCATTTTTTTTCATGAATATACAATATGCTCCATGCATACAATAGATCTAAATAAATACTTATTTCAGAGAGGCCCACCTTGGAGGGCATCTCCACCACATACTGGGGTTTTTTTGATGGATTGCACTGGGTTCCTCAAGATCTATTCTTTTCAATCAAGGTCAGTGGCAGTAATCTCTTGGTGCAATGTCAATCTCAATTATAGTGGGGATAACACAGTGAAATTGAAGTATGATTTTGGGTAGATACATGTCAAATAACTTGACTTGACATTTGACCTAAATAGAAATACATATTCATGATGAATGGATTTGAAAGTGTTAGGATACAAAGTAGTGCAGTGATATTCAATAGGGGTAGATCTGTAGCCAAAATACAGGAAAATCTGTTACTGAAACTATTTTTAAAAGTAATTTTTTAGGTATTTTAATTTCTAAAATAAAATTGTTCTGGAAATAATTATTAATATTATAATTCTGTAATAATTATTAATAATCAATATAGAATAATTAATACAGATAATAATTATTAATATTCTGGAATTAATATATAATAATTAATACAGACCATTATTATTAATATTCTGGAATTAATATTATTAATAATTATTCTGGAATTCTGTCCCTTTTCACATACTGAGAAAGAACTCCCTAATAGTTTATTTGCCATCAGGGTGAGAGAGAAACTGTGCTTCAGAGCACCTTGAGGCTGTTGTTCAAGTGGATTGATTATTTTCAACATACTTTTTAGTCACTGTTATTATGATTTCTGCAAGACACTGGGTATGGTATGAACTATCAGATCCTCTAATTAGAGGAATACTGTTTAGAAGTTGCAATGTAGGAAGGTGAAAAGTAGCCAGTAAAAGTCTGGTGGGAGATGGTAGCTTAAAATAATGTCTGGATGCATTTATAATAATGTTACACATGTAAATGAAAATGTGTTGTCCCACTGTGTGTAGACATCAGGTTTTCTGCCTTTAGAGACTCAGGGTGCACCTTGAAATGTGTGTCCTAAGCCAAGGGCTGGATAAGACAACCATCTGTAATATCAGTGTGATATTGCAGAGCACAGTAAATCTCACCTTGTCACAGATGCATTCTTCAAGCTTAAACAAAAAAGGGGAAGATTGCTTTGTAATTTGGTTTCAAATGTTGGTGTTTTTTTGGTGTTTTTTTTTTTTTTTTTTTACTGGTTAGTTATTATATTTGCTAAGTTTGATAAACTTTTTGACACCTTTGTGCCTCAGCTTAAGTTTTTTTTTGTTTCCCCCTTCTCTGGGGTATAAATTGCATGGTTACTCCTGCCTTTGGCCAGAGACAGGGATCCACTGTGCAGTGCATGAACAGCACAGACCTGAGCTCCAGGACTTCTTTACAAAACCACGGTCCTTGGCTGTGATGTATCATCATGACCTCCTGTTTTTCTTTTTGTCAGCAGGATCTGTTTTCACCCTAAAAGTTCAAGTAAATGACATCATCAGCCATCAGTACCTGCGCCAGGCGGTGGTCGAGGTGTTTGTTAACTACACCCTGACAAATTCCACTCTCACTGGGAACAATGGAGCAGTGTTGATAAAAGTCCCCTACAAACTGGGATTAAGCTTAACTATTGTCTCATACAAGGATGGCTACCTGCTGACACCTTTGCCTTGGAAGACTGCAAGGATGCCAAGTACGTAAGCATCTTACAGGCCTATTATTAAACTCTCTCTGGCAGTAATTAAATTTCTTTCCTAAGCTGTCTGGGTGGTTGCTGTCAGCTGAACACAACTCAGAGAAGTCAGTCAAGGGAGATGGTGCCTGTCAGTGCAGATCTAGGGGTGAACGGTCTGTTAAACTTGTCAAAATTCTGATTACTCTAAAGCAGAAAATGGCCCTTTGAAAATCTAAGTGGGTTATGTTGTGACACACAGTGAATTCTTAGATTTTTTTTTTGTCTAGAGTTAGCAAAGAGCTGTTAATGTGTCCTGACAAAAATCCTGTTGACCTGAGTAAAAAAAAAATCCTGAGTAATTCTTAGAATGCCAATGCTTTCTTTCCTCTAAGCAGATATAATCTGTTACAACTCTGCTTCAGCAGTGTTTCCTCACAGGTTTTCTTATTTAACTAGTGCATGATCCTAAAAAGACTCATGATTTTATTAAAAGAAAAAAAAACTTTTAAGTCACTTTCTAGTGACTTTCTAGTCACTTGTTTATCCAAAGAAGATGTAAAACAGTAGCAAACATTCAACAGAACTCTTTCTGCCTAAACACCAAAATATCTGCTCTGGATAACAGGAGTAATTTATTTAGTCTTCATATGCTCTCTGGTTTATTAACTGCTCTGTTCAGTAGATCTTTAGATTTGGAGACCCTGGAGGATTTTTTTTGGTTGCACAGTATAATAACAGATATTATCATTTTCCACAGTCTACTCATCCGTGACACTCTCATTATTCCCACAAAGTCAAGCTAATATATGGCTGTTTGAAGATACTGTCTTAATTACTGGAAAACTGTCTGGTAAGTTCTGTGCACGCAGACTGTAACTAAACACTTTGTGATAGCCATCTGCACCCACATGGAAAAAAAATTAAGCAGCATTTTATATAATACCTATCTACTTAAAGCCAGATTTTCTGTTAATTATGTAGCTGTACGAGGGGCTGTGACAAGTGCTAGACTGGAAATACAGAAATCATGGAGAAAATGGGGGAAAACAGGTTGTTATGCTAAGTGGATTGCTGAAGGGTAATAAAAACACTGTTTGTCTGTTTTACTGTGGCTAAGACAAAATATTAACTCTTTTACAGATGCCAAATCCCAACCGAGTGTTCAGTTTCCAAAATCTTTAATGAAGCTTCCATCAAATCACATTGCAAATGTTACAGCCTATCTGACAGTGCCAGAGCAATTTTTGAAAGTGGACAGCTTTCTCTATACAACAGGAATTATTCTAAATAAATCAGGTATGTGAATATGTTGGTTAGGAATTCGTATGAAGAAATATTATAATGCATATGAGTGCAAAGTGTTTCAGAAAAACATATGCTTAATTTAAGAGGGCCTGAAGCTGCTTCCATTGAATTAGATCACAAAGCTTTGTTCCACAGGAGTGAGCTATGAACACGTCAGGTCAGTAATCAGCGTTACTCTATTTTGGTCCATGCAGCATGAGAACATATCTTGCTGCACTGAAATACAACTTCAGAGTCTGCTTTTTACATTTATATGTATGTATGTGTATTTATGCTCAGGATTTCATGAGACTGTGGAACTGGTTTAGTAAACACTTTAAAAATGCAATTCTAGCCAGCAGGTGAAGCTGAAGAAATCAGTGAAACGGCAGCAATGAATTTCAGGTGTGGAGTTGCTGCATTTTCACTGGAGTGATTGGTTCTAGGGATTACCCCCAGCACAGGGATTGCATGGGAGCCCCTCTTGGCTCAATCAGGCTGGGCAAGTCTGGGACCAAGTGGTCCCTGTGGGGACAGAGCACAGCTGGAATAATGTTTTCTGTGCATCTGTTTCACTGGAGAAGCACTAAGTGGTTTTATGACTTGTAGCTCTGCTCTTATGCCGTTGGATTTTGTTCGAATTTGTCATTCTATCAGATAGTTTTGAAATCTGCATAGGTACAGTAATCTCTGGTAGGTTGTACTGTGTGCAGTTCCATCTTTCTTTTGTTCTTTTCTTTCTATTCCCAGTGGATCTGAAGCCATGAGGCTCTTAAATTCATCGTGGTGCAGGGAGAGGGCAATACATGGTTTATATTAAGTCATCATATCCTATTTTTTAATTTTCATTCTATTAAAGGCAGCATGTATACTGATATTTTGACAAAGATATTTTAAAATCTTTCTTATCTGTGTTCCACCTCTTTAAATTGAAGGCAGAAGGAAAGAAGCATAGGAGAATAAGCAGTGTTTATCCTCTTTGAGTTTTGCCTTCAATCTGTCTGGCATGTGTTTTAAATTATTCATAAACCCCTGAAGGAATAGGCTTCCTTTTAGGGCAGGTGGAAGCTAATTGATATCTGATGTGCCAGGAGTTCTCTCACAACCAGCTTCTAACAGCCTGCATAGATTTAACATCATTCTGCTACTTAATAATTCTGTTTCAGCTTCTCTCACCATCCTGTCAAACTGGGCTTTCTGGAGCATTTGCAAACTGGTGAAAGGAAAACAAAGGAAAGAAACTTGCAGGCTGCCTTGTAAATGCAACATTTCCTCTGAGTGCTTTGACAAGCCTCATGATTAACTATTCAGTTAATTCTGGCTGCCAAATTAGGAAATTAATCCTTACAGGAGAGGTTCCATATGCTTTCACTTTAATTCAATGTTATGCACATTGTGATTATACCAAAATTCTTGTATGATCTGTATTTAACATCAGTTAGGGGCTTTGTAATCTGATGATCTGAGGGGAAAAACCCTTCCTCCCCCACCCCAAACCAAGTTTTGCCTCATGGTTAGTTCTATGGGCAGCACAGAGCCAAGATGTTGCAAATGTGTTTCTCTTATAGCATTGGTATAGAAATGACTCTGTTTTGTTTTAATCAGAAGTTGTTAAAAGCTCAGAAGAGAAGTAATGTTGATTTCTATTTGACCAAGTTGGTAACAGCTGACTGTGTGGATGAGGATGAGGACTTGCCTTTAGTAGCTTAATTCTTCATGTATTTCTTTTAAAATAACCTGTGAAAGGAGAATTACTAGATATTTCTTGCCCTCAGGTTTCAAAAGCATGGAATTAACTCCTCTTACTGCCGTATGTGTAAATGTTCTGTTGGCTGGGAAAGAAGTGAACATAAAGGGTCCCATTCAGGTTACCCTTCCTCTTCCCACAACTGCTGTAAAATCAGGAGATGCTGTACCTGCCTGGACATTTGATATGAAAATTGGTAAGTGGGTTATTTGGTGTTTTGCCTTCTAGAATATGCCTATAGGTTTGGGCACAGTGATGACATTATTCTATGAGGTGATGGTCAATAGGTGATCATTTATTTTAATGGGCTAGCTTGAATTGTTCAAAGGTATTTCCCTGCTTTCGTTAATTCAAAAACCTTTGGTAAAATTCATTAGCCTCTTGCCTGAATTTTTATTTTCATGGGATGCTGAGTGTTCACAGAACATATATTTTAGGTGATGTTAAATTTCAAGCCTAGTAATTTTGTGAATTCCTTCATACAAGAAAGCAAACCAGAACTGAAGGTTTGGATGCTTTGTCTCCTAGAGTGTAGCTCTAAATATCCTTTGATGCTAGAACTGGAATACATATTGCTTCGGTTAACAAAAACAATTCAGAAAGTGAAATGAAGGGGAAATAAGAGTTATCCAAGGGAACAACATAGTTCTTCCAGTATGCCAAGAGGAGGCTGGGGATTAGTCATTCTAAACCTTTTGTCATCCCTTCACATCTAATTTTAGTCAGGAGTGAGTAATGAGCTATGTCCATGTAACCCATTTAGCTGACCTGTGGTGTGGGTGCATTAGTGTCCTGATTGTCCTGCATTGCACCTCACCATCACCCTTGAAATGTGAATTTATATTGAATATACAGGCTTGAAATGTGCAACTGAGTGAGGTCACATCTTGCTCCTTATCAAGGCAAAAAGCTTTTGTTCAGTGTTTGGAAGTACAGGAGAGGAACATCAGCTCTAACAAAGTGTTGTTGACGTGGTCAAGGAAGAAACTGATCAACTTAATGAAAAAAACCTGAAGAACATGGATTTGAATTAAGGATGTGCTAATAAAATTTGGCTAGGCTGTCTTGTCAGGAAAAAGTGAATAGGGTAAGTTTTGGCATAGAAGATTAAGTGTGCATATACACTTAGAAGACTTTAGAGGAGTAATTGGTGGAAAGAGATGGCTTTTTAGAGGGTTTTAGTCTGAGGTGGTAAAATATCACTCAGGGTTTAAATTTCTTATTGCCACAGCCACTTTTGCCAGCTCCTGTGCTGAGCTTTTTTACCTCTCTAAACAAAGCTAAATCAACACTGTTGTTAAACAAGGAGTTGACAGAACTGGAGCAGCACAGGATGGGCTAGAATACAAACCAGTGTGAGGTGTTTATGTGGGGGTTGAGGGTCCTGCTCAGCATCCCTACATAGGATTGTTGGTCTTAGGAGTAAAACAGGAGCCAGGAGCATGGCCTGCTGATGCAAACCCCAATAAAACCAGCTGGTTCTTCCTCTCCAGTGGGATGTACTTTACAGAGATTCCATAAAGGCAAGCTGTTTGTAATGGGTGCTCTCTGAGGTATACTGTTCACTGCTGCTTGCTGAGGAGAGGGACAGAAGGATGGTAGAAAAGAACAGCAACTTTTGGGGCATAAATTAACTTGTACTTTTTTTCTCCCATTTCTTTCTCTCTAACAATAAAAATTTTCAACTGTATTCACTTTCTGGATGTTTATTCTTAAATATGTTTCTTTTATTTTTTTACCTTTGATCTGACACGTGCAAAACGACTTTTCCCCAAGATAACTGAGTAATAGCAAGGTGTTTTTCAGTCAAGGTTTTGGTGAGTGAGGGCAGTGAACACCTCAGCTCTGCAGCAGGCATTGCAGAGCATCCATAATGAGCAGCAAGCCCCCATCTGAGCTGAATGCAGAGCTCCTGCTGCACTCAGTAATGAGGCTCTGGCCTCCTAGGTGCTGCGTGTGGGATGTCCCCAGCAAGACACTGACACAATTTTTAACTCTGAAGTCCTTGGATAATGTGATATGATGGTAATCAGAGCTCTCATGTCAGCATTGATAGTGGCAAGGGAACAGGTCTGTGTGGGCTGACCCATATGCGGCAGGAAAATGATAGAATCTGCTTTCACAGGTCTGCCTGAGCAGTGCTCCTGGGGCTTACTCCAAGTGGAGTAGACTTGAGAGTTCCTGGAAAATGAGCTTTGGTAATTGTACTCAGCTGCTGTAAATGCAGAGTTTGTTCATCTGTATTGAGTGTGGCTTCCTTCTTATGAAATATTTTGCTACATTAGTGCTGAAAGCACTTTGTGGATTTTAATAGAATTACAAAAACCAGAGAGCTTGCATTCAACATTAAATTGAGAATTATATCCTTCTGCTTGAATGGCAGTAAACCATAGAGAAAATGGGCTTACTCATGAATCACATTTTAATATTTTTTCTTAATACCAAGTATTTTCTATGTAGTATATTGAGGGAAGATGTAATTTGCTGAAAAGGGCAGCAGACATTGTATAGCTTCTTATGGATTTGTTCAGTCAAGATAGAACTTCTGGAGACCTGGAAGGTTTTCTTGCCTTTTATACAAGGTTTGCTGATATTACTCCTGATTCTGGACAAGATTTCTCGGGGGCTGAGAAAGCATTTTCAGAGCTCTAGGTGGTTGCTGCTGCCTTTCCCCTCTGCCAGCCATCACAAGCACCACAAGAAGGCTGATGCTTCATTTTCTCTGTATCTGTGGCAGATGTCCATCTTCATCTTTACCTCCTGGCTGGGAGATATTTACTTTTCCTTTGCTGAAAGAAGGGTCCTGGAAGAAAATCAAATTGAAATTCATATAAGTCCCAGCTTACATGAGTTATACTGTTTTCGTTTGATTTTTTGTGTTTCATTATTGATGTTTTAAAAAAGCTGATGGTTCTATCTACTTAGTATTTGCAGGTTGAATATATAATGTTGGTTACATTAGGCTGTTTTCTGCCCTTAGAATTTCAAAACTGGCCCACAATAAACATATTTGAGTTAAGTACAGTTCTCTCTCTTCTAATGGATGCTTTATTAATTGTAGAAGCTGGCATACCACAATACCTTTCCCTTGCCTTGCCAAACAGATGGTGTGGAATCTGTGTCCTAACAATAGCACTTCCTCGGGCTAACTGAACTGTTACAGCCTCGGGGCAGGGAGGAGGAGAGAAACATTCAAGACAAACACTGTTTATCCTATTGTGGCTTAATAAGATTAAAATGTTTTCCCACTAAGTTCTGCTAGCTGATGTTGAACTCGTGTCCATATGCATCAGTTACCTGCTCCCTCGTTTTTTACTCTTGGCCTTCATGCATGCTGAAGGTCTTATAATAGGTTTTCTCAATTTATTTATGTGCATATCTGTGAAAGACAGTTTATTAATAGAAAATGAATCATATGAAGTTTACTTCTGGTGAGTAAGGTTGATGCTTTGTTTCAAAGTAAATGGCTACAGATGAATGTCAGGAGAGGAAGTTTGCTTGTTTAACTAAAGCTGTGTAATAAACAGTGGCTGTCAGAAGTTTCAGTTTTTCCTGTCACCTTGTGTATTTCTGATAATGGCCTAATTGCTGGTGGTTTGAGGTGCAGAAGAACCCTGCATGGCATGTGCAATGTTTTGTCCTTTTTTCCCTCAGGTGCTTGGGTGAACCGTGGGCTGGGAGTGGTGAAGGAGGTGGATGGCCAGTCCGTGTGGACATACACTGCTCAGCACTTGGGCTACTGGATTGCAGCTCCACTGCCTGGAGCAAGAGGTATGGCAACCATGGCCAAGCAGTTCCTGAATGCCCCACAAGGCTGTCAGTTTGACTGCTTCATTTAACAGCAGGAAGGAGAAGTGACATGCAACTTCACCACCTGGATAAATTTTGTTTGAGTCCTTACAGTGATTTTCTTGCATGTTTTGTAAATTCATATGAAGGAATCTGTCAGAGAAACAGTGTGGCTAATTGTAAAAACACAGCACTCTCTGGCAGAGTGCTAAGTAGAAAATGTAGACCACTTTTCTGAGTTAGTTTGGACAATTAATACAAATATAATTTGTCTGGAATGAAGTAGATGTCATTGCAAGCCTTTAGTATTCGAGATGAACCTGTCATTTTTACCTAGCAAGGTGAAAAGGCAAGGATGAACATAATGCCATTAGAACATATAAAATCACTGGAAAAGTACTGTTCAGTTTATTAGCTCTGCACATCATTTGGTTTTAAGAACTAATGCTTGTCTGGTTTTGTTTGATAATCTAGAATCCATTATTAGTGCTGTTTCCAAGGACATAACAGCCTATCATACCGTGTTCCTTACGGCCATACTGGGAGGAACTGTTGTCATTATCATTGGATTTTTTGCTGTTCTTCTTTGTTACTGCAGGTAAGCAAAAGAAGTTCCAGGAAGCTCATTATGAGTGGAATTTGGGGTTGATAAAATAGTCTTTTGAGGTTAAGACTTGTTTTCTTAGCTAAACTGTAATGTATAGCATAATATTTTTTTAAAAATTAAAGTTGTTACGGAATTTCATTTTAAGTTTGTGATGTCAAATTACACCACAACTTCTTAACCAAAGTCTAACCTCCAGCTTTGGTAGTCAGCAGTCCAGTATTTCCTAACATGCTCTGCAGTCACCTTGCTTTTCTTTTGCATAGAGATAAATGCCATCGGACACAGAAGAAGGAAAAAAACTCAACCAAGCTGGAGGTGATAAAGAAGGACCAGACAACATCAACAACTCACATAAATCACATCAGTGCTGTCAAAGGGACTTTAAAGCTGGAGGATAAGTCACAGTTATATACACCGAAGATTTCTTCATATAGCCCTCAAAGGAGGCTGTCCATGGACACAGAAGATGGAAAATCACAGGACAATTTTAAAATCTACTCAGAGGATGCTTCTTATCAATCCTCCTGTCAGACTGGTCAGGCAGGAAATTCAGCCCATTCAGTGGAGCCCAGTGCTGGAGTGAGGCTTTTACAGCAGCCAAAGCACAGTAACAGTACTATTTCCCAGGCTCCTAGGGACATTCCAGACCAAAACAGGTACCTTTCACTGAAAGAGGAGATGTATGGGCTTTCTCATATCCCAGAACATCTAATGCATATTTACAATCAGCCTATTGCTATTCTTCAAACCTCAGACCTTTTCCACTCCCCAGAACAACTGCATCCCGCTAAATCAGCAACTTTGCCAAGGAAAGGGCAGCTGGTGTACGGCCCCATGTTGGAACCCATGACTCGAGACAATTACATGCAAACACTCCCCAAAATGCCAGTGCACTCTCATCCCCAGCCTTCTGCCTGCAGAGATGAGAGCAGCGCCCTGGATGGTGAAGAGGGCTTGCCTTCCCAAGCATCCAACTGGGGCAGGTACACCAACAGCTTGCTGGAATCTGTCTCTGTTCCTGGGACCCTGAATGAAGCCGTGGTAATGACTCCCTTTTCATCTGAACTTCAAGGGATTTCAGAGCAAACACTGCTGGAGCTCTCTAAAGGAAAACCATCTCCGCATCCTCGAGCGTGGTTTGTGTCCTTGGATGGAAAGCCAATTGCTCAAGTGAGGCATTCTTTCATAGATCTGAAAAAGGGCAAAAAAACTGAGAGTAATGATACCAGTCTTGACTCTGGTGTGGACATGAATGAGCATCATCCTAGCAGGAAACTGGAGAGAGAGAAAACTTTCATTAAAAGCATGCCGCATTCCAAGATTCTTTACTTGGAAGATCTGGATCTGAGTTGCAGTGAAAGTGGGACCACTGTTTGCACTCCAGAGGACCAGGCTGTGAGACACATCATGGAAGGAGGGAACGGGCCCGTCCTAGAACAACATAATGAGGAAGGTCTAAGGAAAAAATCTCTGCCAGGAAGTCATGAATCTGGTATCCCTTCTGCTAAAAAAAGGGATAGACCACCTCTCATGAAAAGAGATAGCAAAACCAATATCTGGAAGAAAAGAGAGGAGAGGCCGCTTATTCCTATAAATTAAAACACAAAAACCACAATGTGCTTTGTGCTGTTGCTCTCCCTGCTGGTTGTTGATCTCTTGCCTGCTTCTGTAATTCTGCAGTGTTGGGTTTACAAGGGAAATGTTGTTTTCTAGTATCAAGAAAAGTTTCATTTTTTTAACATAAAGATTGAGTTACCAAACTTCAGCTGGGCAGCTGATATTCCATGTGAATTGAAAACAGGGGAATGCTACTATTAAACTTTTCCAGTTCCTAATTTTACTGGCAGTATGAGGAAGGCCCACATTTTACTTAGCCTGTCATTCTTGGACACACCTTTGGGAATGCACAGTGAGAAATGTAGGCACATGGTTTAATTTTTTTGTACTTGTTGCTAATGCAATGGTAGCCTAGTTAAAGCCATTCCTAGCCTTGTTCCTAACCAACATGACCATCTGTACAGTATTTTATATGTGAACTTTTCTAGCTGTCTGTTACTACTCCTTTGTACAATGTGAAACGTTTCATCCCTTGGTCCCACGACACCAGCAGATGAGCTGTGCTGGATTTATCAGCAGAGCTCTACAGCATTACTGCCCTCCCTGTGTGCCCATCCATGTGCAATTCCATACAACACTGGGGGAAGTGTACAAGTGTGGCCCCTGCAGTTCATGGTCCCCACTACCTTAAGGTGTTGCCCATCTGCTTTGTTAAGATGTGCTTTGTTATGGCCTGTGGGTGTTCATGGGCTCTGAAGGGTCCATGTCCAGCAGAAAAGGACTGGTTCTGGTAGCATTTGGAGCTGCAGCTACTCCTGATCCCAGTGTCTTGTTTTGGCTTCTTTGGCAGTGAACATCTTCTCTTCTCTATGCTGTTGGGCCAGCTGTGCTCCAGAACATAGCCTTGAATCTCTGCCTATTTATAAGTGAGGGTTTGGCCCATGATGAAGTGTGCAGGATTAGACAAATTATGCCTTGGAAAGAGGTTCTTGAGCAGGAAAGCTTGGCACTGTTGCTTTTTATTTTATGTTTAAAACAATGGGAGATCATTTGAGGTTTATGTGCCTACATTTTGCCAGCCTGAGCTGCTTTTGTCTAGGTTTGCAGAGGAGTTAAACAGGCTTTAAAAGCTGGGGGGGAGGGTTATGAGCATGAGACAGCAGATTGCAAAAATTTGGTCTGTAATGCAATATAAATACTATTTATGACTCATCTTAGAGTTAAATTTACCAAAAGTCATGAATGCATGAATTGTAACTAAGATATGTATAGAGGAAGGAAAGGCCATCAGAATATTCTTTAATTTTAATGTTCATCTTGTCAAAGTGATCATTTCAACTTTGGCTAACAGAAAAATGGATGCATCTCTTAATGTGCTTCATATAGTGAACAGAATGTATTTCTGTGGCTTTGAGGCTGTTTCCCTGGTGAAATAAGTTCCAGCATTTTGGCTTTGGCAGTTTCATTATAAATCACCCTAAAAAAGGCTTTATAAATATTTCCCTTAGAGCTTGGTTAAGGGTCTGTACGAAGACCCAAACATACAATGCCTATTTTTGAATTGTGAGGTGAGTGGTGCTTGGTTGTCTGCCCTGTAGTGCACTCAAGAGTTGGGAGGTATCCTATGCAGCTGGGCTTCTGGGAATATTTACTCAGGAAATATTACTGTGAAATATGTCTGTGGTGTTGGGATTGTCAGTTGTCTGTTGCTGTTTCTAAAAGAATATGGAAGATAACCAGGATGGTACCAGCAATGCATCAGTCCAAAGTGAGCATTTGCTCCTGGAACAAAATGTTCCTATTGAATTCACAAGTATGAAAGTGCAAATTAAATTAGAGATAGGTGTGTGTGTGTGTGGTGGGTTAACCTTGGCTGGATGCCAGGTGCCCATCAAGCTGCTCTATTGCTCCCTGTTCCCAGCTGGGCAGGGGAGAGAAAATAAGATGGAAAACAACTCCTGGATTGAGATAAAGCAGTTTACTAAGGAAAAAGCAAATTTGGTGTGTGCATAAAGAGAAAAAAAAATAGGTTTGTTCTCTACTTCTCATCAACAAGCAATGTGTGGCTGCTTCTTGGGAAGCAGGGCTTCAACACGTGTAGTGTTTGCTCCAGAAGGCAAACCTTGTAAATAACAAATACCCCCACTTCCTCCTCCTTTCCTTAGCTTTTATATCTGAGCTGGTGTCACATGGTATGGAATATCCCTTTGGTTAATTTGGGTCAGCTGGCTTAGATGTGGTTCTTGCCAGGATCTTGCCCACCCCAGCCTGCTGGTTGGCAGGGAATGTTGAGAGTCAGCACTGATGCTGTGCCAGCCCTGCCCAGCAGTGGCCAAAACACTGGTGTGTTCTCAGCACCTTTCCAGCTCCCAGGGCAGAGCACAGTGCTGGGAAGGCTGCTATGGGGAATGAACTCATCCTCAGCCACACCCAATATCCAATGGGCATCACCATCACAGGCGGGAATCTCAGCTCCTGTGCCTGGAGCACCTCCTCCTCCTCCTTTGGCACTGACCTTGGTGTCTGCAGACTTGTTCCTCTCACATGTTCTCACCCTGCTCTTCTCTGGCCACAATTACCTCTGCACAATAACTCCTTTTCCTTCTCAAATCTGTCACCACACAGGTGTCACCATCATTTTTGACTGGCCCAGCCTTGGTCAGCAGCGGCTCTGTCCTGGAGCTGCTGGCATTGGTTCTGCTGGACATAGGGAAGCTTCTGGCGGCTTCTCATCCCTGTAAACCTCCTCACCCCCCACTAACAAAACACATGGTGAAGCAACTGTCCCCTGCTGCAGCAGGTATCCTGGAATTACCTGTGGGGAACTCACACTGGCGGCAGGCTGAGCCTGGAGGACTGCACCTTTTGGAAGAGTGAACCATGTTGGAGCAATTTATGGAGAACTGTTGCCCTTGAGAAGGACTCAAACTGGAGAAGTTCATGGAGAGCAGCCTCCTGTGGGATAAACCCTGTGCTGGAGCAGGGGAAGGACTTCTGTCCTTGAGCAGTGGCAGAAACCAGATGTGATGGACTGACCCATTCCTGTCCCAGAAACCACACGTGATGGACTGACCCATTCCTGTCTCCCTGTGTCACTGATGGGAGGAAGTGGAGCTGGGAAAGAGAGAAGGGTGGGGAGAAGGTGTTTCTAAGATTTATTTCCCTTGTCATTATCCTGCTTTGGTTTTGTCAGTAATAAATTCAGTTAATATCCCCAAGGTGAGTGAGTCTGTTCTGCCCGTGACAGTATTCAGTGAGTGATCTCTGCCAGTCCTTAACTCAATTCAGGAGCCTTTCGTTGGATTTTCTCTCTTCTGTCCACTTTTGGTAAGAGTGGCTTTGGTGGGTGCCTGGCATCTAGCCAGGGCCAAACCACTACAGTGTGTAAATAAGTCTGTAATTAAATTGGCTTCAAGAATCTAAAAGAGGTTTGATTCATCTATTTCAGATGTGAAGATGGCTTGTCATATCAGCATGCCTTTGGTTCTCTTTCTAGGTAACAGGAATTTTGTTGTCCAATACCAAATACTTTTTCACTAAAACTTTTTGGTTTTTTTTAATGTACAGTTGTGCTGGATTTTTTAATATGACTTTCTAGGCCCAGATACTGATCATTTCATCCTTTGCTTTGTTGTATACATTAGTAGGAATCAAATTATATATGCACATTTCTTCTGAAAGATGCCCTTGAGGTTCAATATTGCCCTGTTTGCAGAGTTGCATTGGTTCTGATGGCTCCCTTTTCAAAAAGAGATTATTATGCATTCTGTTGAACATCATAGAAAATCCCTGACAAGCTAATGGTTTTAAGGAATTCATATCAAGTTCATATGTCTTTACTTGAAATTTTGTTCACTTACAGTAATATTTCAGATTTTTAAAATGCATTTTTCATTGTATATACCAAAAAGACCTAATTTCTCAAACTTACTTGTATCATCAAAAAATATACAGACTACTATAAATGGCTTTATTTACATGAGTTCAAAGGAAACAAGTTTGGCACTCCATTGTTCTCATTCTTTGACAGAGTGGGTGTCTGGTTGTTAAAGAAAAAGGATTAGAAATCCAACTCTATAAATTATTATGATTCAAATTCGTACAGAATAATTCTAAATATATCAGTCTTCACATTCCAACTGTATTGTTGGAATTTATGCACTGGAAAAACCTGTATTGCCTGCTAGAGATTAGAATTCTTTTTGGCTTTAGATCATTTAAAGAAGGAGTTTGACTATGCTGAGCTCTAAAAATTTTAATTCCACAAAACATTCTATGTGATGTGTAACATGAGGAGAACACAGAATGTCACACTGAAGTGTCACAAACTTACGGTTTTCTATATTTCTCTATATGATTTCAACATATGAATTTATAGGAGTCTCTGAATTTCTTAAGATTTTTTTTTTCAGTTGGCTCTTTGTGGCATTAACAGACTGTAAAAATGCTGCTGCCAGAATTAGGCCTATACAAAAATTAGCAAGGATTTGTGGCACACAGCTCTTGGAAAGGCTGGGGAAACATTCAGAGGTTTTTACTTCTTTGAATCTGCAGGTTGCTTACCTTGAGAATAAGAAGGGAGAAATGCCTGTGAGGACACAGGAGAGGGGAATGAATAAGGAAAATTGGAAAGGATACAGCTTCTTTCTGATGCTAGTTTGCAAACTGGTATGTGTTTGTGCTTTGGTGGAATCAATTCTTTCTGAAGAGCAAAAATGTTGGCAACAGTTATGTCTCAGTTCTTCACAAGGCACTTCTTGAGCTGTCAGCTTTTGCAAGAAAAGCCCTTATTTATGTACATATAGTTTTAAGTGCAAGCTCATTGACAGTAATTTTTAGATGGTTACCAAATGCTAGATATTATAGATGAAAAAAAAAAAGGTGGGGGAATAACTTAAAAATCAGATTTAATTAAGAGAAAAATAGTCCTTCTAGTGCAATCAGAAAATAGAGCTCTGGTATTACAAACTTGAAAGTAAAAATTATGTGTAGATTAGGGACTTTATTTACCACCATAAATCTAGAGGTGACACAACAAAAATAATCCAGGATGTAGGAATGTTTAGTTGTCTCCTTTGTTTTTATGCAGTGATTTGTACCAAAGAGGATGAAATGGACTGGCACCAGTATAGATTCTTGTTAGTTAAAAAGTGACAAAGTTTCACAACACTACTGATCAAACACTGTGCAAATGAAAAGGCAGTGCACTACATCTGTTGTCTAGTGCTTTACATTAGGAAAATCTGGAGATAAATGAGCCTGCTGAAGTGCCTTTCTCTTTCATCAGACTTATTTTATCCGTGGGACACCTGACTATCTGAAAGCACATTGTGGTTTTATTTTCTGTTAGCCAAACCCCCCCGAATTCATACAATTATGTAGCTTTTATAATATTTTAAGAGGCAGATCTAGTGCTTTTTATGTTGGAATACTGACTTCTGCATGTTGATGATGATGGTAGTTGTTGTAAAACCTAGTTTTGATATATTAAGTTTGAAAAGAAATTTAAAAAAAAAATATATCTTTAGCAATCTGAACAGTAGTGTCTTTTAAAAATGCTCATATGGGATCTGATTCAACTTTGTGTGTCACGTGCAAGCATCTTGAAGCCACTGGATTTACAGGTATGAAACTGACTGGGATATTAACATAAAAATGAAATTAACATATGTTTATATATAAACTATTAGAACAATAAAAGTCCTTTTTTAGCTGCTAACTTTGCTTGTCAGTAGCAGCAGAAATTGTATGGAGATCAGTACGTAATTCTTATTTTCTAGAACCAATTTTTATCTCAATTTGGAGCCTAACCTGCATTGGTTTTTAATAGCTTTTTAATTTTTTTTTAAATTCAGTGGTATTATGAAAACATAGTACTATGCCTACAGAGCTAAAGATGAGCATTCTTTTATAGTAATTTGTACTAATTTGTGCCACACTTCTAACAGTAGGTAGCTACATTTGTGTTAAAGAATTTATATGAAAGGTGATTTAAATGACTTGAATCTGAGCTTTGTTTCCTTTTAAAAGCAGTATTCATTGTGTTCTGAAAAAAATAAATAGCTTCAGGGTTTTTTTTTAAGACTGGTAGGGCAAAACTCTGTCATTTTTTGTTTTGCTAGAACTCTCAGCCTGAAAACTGTTTTACCAAATGAATTTTTTCAGTCAGTTTTAGGACTTACTGAACATTCCTATATTCCCCCTCCTCAAGACATCCTGGTACTTTATTCCCCAGGTAATGGATTTAGTTCCTTTGAAGCACTCGTTGCACTTCAGTCCACGTTAGAACAGTACTATTTTTACATGTCACTGTGTAGAAAGGCAGTTTTTAGTGCTCATTGGAGCATGTTACTCGTGCAAAGCCTGGCTCTGGGTGTTGCAAGGCAGGTGAACTCATGGCCCTGACTGTGCTCACCACCTTGAATTCTGGAGCCTCATATTCAACAAATGCTTCATGACCTCAGCAATTATTTTCAAAATCTCTCTAGTATGGATATTGTTTATGTAAAACATTCTTGATATTTGGCATCCTGGTTTTAAGTATTTCTACCTTTTTATATTTTGTCAGAGGTGTCTTTTCATCTCTGTATTTACTACAGTATCAGTGTATCTGTTGCTGAAAATGTAACTAAGGTTTGTAAAATGTTACAGCTTATGCAATATAATAAAAATTTGAAAAAGTTATCAATGCCTGAAATTTTATTTGTTTATCTTTGAAGCCATATGTTGGTTAGGGACATCTTTCAACATTTTCTTTCCAAATATCATTAAGGGTATTTCTGTCATCACCATAATTCCCAGGACAAAAGAATGTCATCCTCCTTCAGGTTACCAACTCTAATAGAGTCACGTTCTCTATTCTGTTTCTTGTGAAGAAAAACTTCTTGCAGTCTTCAGCTGGACCTTGGAGACAATTTCCTTGCAAACAAACAAAAGCACATCCGCAGAATAAGGAGCTAGCTTAAAAAGCTTTCATCCCTTTATGATAAAGTCATAGCTAATTTATTTATTTATTTGGACAAGGACAATCCAAATGTGTGCTACAGAATCATTTGGAGATGTACTGCACTAAAAGTAAGTTTAAAAACATAAGCTTTGTTTGCCATGGATGTTTGTTTACAAAGCCTATGTTGTCTACTCTCTAGGTAAAGTTGATGCCAAGAAGGTTTTTATTCATTATACATTTTTAATAAATTTGTAGTTCTGTAGACTACTATTATATAGTTATATAGCTCCTTAACTAACTCAAATACTTTTTCTACCTTTTCTCTTAGATTTTATAAAAGCAAGCTAACTTTCCTGGAATCCTAATTAGTCTTTCCTCTAGTGTGAACCAAGGACATTTTGTTTTTTTCCAGATACTGTGGGCATAATAAATGTGGGGCTAGAAGCTGGGATGGGGGGGCTTCAGAGAGGGGCAGAACCAAAAGAGGGGGTGGGTTACTTAATTAACTGTACCTCTAATTGGATGATTTCTTTTAAGTGTGCTAATTTGTTCCACCTTTAAAACTGTCAGAGTCCTGTATCGTGTGCATTGTGCCACACTTGCACCTGAAGGACCTTCATTAGGTAACCACTTTTTGTCATTCAATAATGCTTGGCTTGTGATTTTTGGCATCAAAGTCATCTACTTACATAAAGGCAGAGAAGTAAGTGACAAGCAATAAGGTATAGTCAAACGCTATCAAAATACTGGTTTTAAAATATTTATTGTAAAGCTATAAAGTTATTATGAAGGTTTGCAAGATGGCTGTTCAGTCTTGATTTTTCTGTTGCATTCGCAAGTTGTTTTGTTTCTAAATTCTATTAGAATAAGAAGAAGAAGTGCACATTTTTTTCTGTAAAGTGGACACTTCACTGCAGAGCCATGCTCCAGTTCATCTTGGTGATTTGTCCAAAGTTTTGGGTACTTAATGTGAACATTACCACACGTGTATCTATAGAAAATGAATTCCAATTCCTGTTATCTCTCCAAAATTAAGAAAAATCACATAGCAATACTAAATAGGCTTCCCTTTTTCTTTTTTCCTCCTTCCTCTCCACCCACCTCTCCAAGCTCCTAAGATTGCCACATTTTCCCAGATTGCAAAAGGGCTGTAACAATTGTCAGGTATCTTTTCTTGTGATTTTTTTCTGTCATTAGAAGTGCAGCAAGTCACGGAGCAAATTTTATGCCTAACCTGTACTAAGGGAACTGAAACACTTTGCTTAATAACACCTCCTGACATATAGGACAAACATCCTCTTCATCAATTTCTTCCTGACCAATGCATTTGTCATTCTCTGCCTTGTAAGAGTCTTAAACTGCTTTACACAGAAAGTATTAATTGTGTGATTATATGAGAGAAGCTGGGTAATTTTACTGTAGCAAATTAAGTTTAATAAATTTAAATTTTAGTGTTTAAATTTAAATTGAGGGCTTAGTCTCCCTCCCAGTTTATATTCCTGTCACTGATTTCTCCAGTGACCTAATCTAGCTCTCCAGACTGCAAAAAGAACAAACCTAGAAAGAAAACCCACCAATTTTCTGTTGATGTGGTGGGTTTTAATTGAATTTTGAGGTAGGTAATACATGCCTATTACTTTAACAGAGATGGTGCAGGGGCAGGAGCACAAATGTGATGAGGAGCAGCTGAGAGATTTGGGGTTGTTTACCCAGAGATTTTATTGGTCTATACAACTGCTGAAAGGATGGCGGACGGATGTCGGGTTCTTTTCCCAGGTAACAAGTGACGGGATGAGAGGACACAGCCTTAAACTGTGCTGGGGGAGATTCAGCTTGGACATGAGGAAGAATTTCTTCACATAGAGAGTGGTTAGACATTGGAACAGGCTGCCTGGAGAGGTGTTGAAGGAAAGACGGGATGTGGCGCTGGGGCCGGGTCCCAAGCTGGACTCATTGAACTCCAAGGTGCTTTTTGACACAGGTGGGACAGGCTGGCCTCAGAGGCGTTTGTTTGGCACAGGTTGGACGGGCTGCCCTCAGAGGTGTTTGTTTGGCACAGGTTGGACGGGCTGCCCTCAGAGATGTTTGGCACAGGTAGGATGGGCTGCCCTCAGAGGTGTTTGTTTGGCACAGGTGGGACAGGCTGCCCTAGGAGATGTTTGGCACAGGTTGGATGGGCTGTCCTCAGAGGTGTTTGTTGGGCACAGCTAGGATGGGCTGGCCTAGGAGGTGTTTGGCACAGGTTGGATGGGTTGCCCTAGGAAATGTTTGGCACAGGTTGGGCGGGCTGCCCTCAGAGGTGTTCGGCCCAGGTTGGACTTGCTGCCCTCAGAGGTGTTTGACACAGGTTGGGCGGGCTGACCTTGGAAGTGGTTGTTTGGCACAGGTTGGATGGGCTGCCCTCAGAGATGTTTGGCACAGGTTGGATGGGCTGGCTCGGTGATGTTTAGCACAGATAGGACCGGCTGGCCTAGGAGGTGTTTGGCACAGGTTGGATGGGCTGCCCTCAGAGGTGTTTGTTCGGCACAGATAGGATGATCTGGCCTAGGAGATAGTCGGCACAGGTAGGACGGGCAGCCCTCAGAGGTGTTTGGCCCAGGATGGACGGGCTGCCCTAGGAGGTGTTTGGCACAGGTGGGACGGGCTGCCCTTACAGGTGTTTGTTCAACATAGGCTGGATGGGCTGGCCTCAGAGGTGTTTGTTTGGCACAGGTTGGATGGGCTGCCCTCAGAGGTGTTTGTTTGGCACGGGTTGGAAGGGCTGCCCTCAGAGGTGTTTGTTTGGCACGGGTTGGAAGGGCTGCCCTCAGAGGTGTTTGGCACAGGTTGGACAGGCTGCCCTGGGAGGTGTTTGGCACAGGTTGGACAGGCTGCCCTCAGAGGTGTTTGGCACAGGTTGGACGGGCTGCCCTGGGAGATGTTTGGCACAGGTTGGACGGGCTGCCCTCAGAGGTGTTTCCCAGCCAGAGGAAGCCGTGACTCAGCAATGGACGCGCACACGGAGGCCCCGTT